GGGTTCGAGTAAACTTAAACGAGCCATAGGAGCCGTTAAGGACCAAACCAGCGTCGGTCTAGCCAAAGTCAACGGTCGAAGCGCTTCTTTATCAGAACTTGACGTAGCCATTGTCAAAGCGACTCGTCACGAAGAGTTTCCAGCGGAAGAGAAATACATAAGGGAGATTCTTAGCCTAACTTCTTACTCACGCAATTACATCAACGCTTGTGTCAATACGCTTTCGAGGCGTCTTAATAAAACCAAATGCTGGACCGTTGCTCTCAAGACGTTGATCTTGATCCAACGTCTCTTAGGAGAAGGAGATAAAGCCTATGAACAAGAGATCTTCTTCGCAACTCGCCGTGGGACAAGGCTTCTCAATATGTCTGATTTTAGGGATGTTTCGCTGTCCAATTCTTGGGACTACTCTGCTTTTGTAAGGACTTACGCGTTGTACCTTGACGAAAGGCTTGATTTTAAGTAAGAATCCGAGGGTTTTCGATTTTAGACTAATAGCTATTCATGTGTACATTCGAAGATATACAAGATTTGGTTTTGGTTTTTGATCTTTAGGATGCAAGCAAGACATGGAAAACGCGGAGTTTACTGCGTTGGAGGAGAAACCGACGAAGATGAGCAAGATCAACCGGCGTCTGATCTTTCCACGGCTATTTTGGTCAGGTCACAACCGATCGCCGAGATGAAAACAGAGCAGATTTTCACCAGAGTACAACATTTGCAGCAACTTCTTGACCGTTTCTTGGCTTGTCGTCCAACAGGTATATATATATATTACTTTGGCTTCACGTTTCCTTTTATCTGTTTTGTTTCTTGAGTAACAAGTTATTTTAACAGGTAATGCGAGGAACAATAGAGTTGTGATTGTGGCGCTGTATCCGATAGTGAAGGAGAGTTTTCAGACATATTACGGTGTAACAGAGATAATGGGTATTTTGATCGATCGATTCATGGAGTTAGACATTCCTGATTCGATCAAGGTCTATGACATTTTCTGTCGAGTCTCGAAACAGTTTGAAGAGCTCGATCAATTCTATTCCTGGTGTAAGAACATGGGGATCGCACGGTCTTCTGAGTATCCGGAGATAGAGAAGATCACACAGAAGAAACTTGATCTCATGGATGAGTTTATAAGAGACAAATCTGCTTTAGAACAGACCAAGAAATCAAAATCTGTTAAATCCGATGACGAAGACGATGATGCGAGAACAGAGGAAGTAAATGAAGAGCCAGAGGACATGAACGCGATCAAGGCCTTACCCGAACCTCCACCAA